CAAAGAACATACACCATCACCTCCAAAGAAAATTAGTAAAGCTCTAATAATGAACTCCAATAAAATGATCAATGGAATGACTGACAAAGAATTCTCAATAATACTTGTAAAGAAGTTCGGTGTACTACAAGAGTACAAAGATCGAAAAATTAATAGAATTTGGAAAATTACACATGAAAATAGAGTGAGGTGATCAATGTGGAACTAGAAACAAAAGAAGGGAACCAAATAGAAATCCTAGACAATGAAGAATACAATGACTGAACAGAAAAATGTAGTAGAAAGTTTCAATGGAAGAAGAATCAGTGAGTTGAAAGACCATGTTAAATTATCCAGAGGAGCAAAAAACCAAAAGAATACAAAGGAATTAATAAAGGCTATAGTAATTATGAGATACCACCAACATTTTGCACAATAAGAGTTGTAGAAAAATTATAAAGAGATAAGGGCAAGAAAGCTCATCAACTTACGAATGGTTTAACTGTGGTTATGTACATGAGGGAGTACTATTCAACCATAAAAAAGGATAGAGACTAACAGAGACTACTTTTTTTTTTTTTTTGAGACAGTCTCACTTTTTTGCCCCTGGTAGAGTGCCTTGGCATCACAGCTCACAGCAACCTCTATCTCTTGGGCTCAAGAGATTCTCTTGCCTCAGCCTCCCAAGTAGCTGGGACTACAGGAACCTCCCACAAAGCCAGACTATTTTTTTTTTTAGAGATAGAGTCTCACTCTAGCTCAGGCTGGTCTTGAACTTGTGAGCTCAGGTGATCTGCCTACCTTGGCATCCCAAAGTGCTAGGATTACAGGCACAAGACTACATTTTTTGTATTTACCTGGATGGAGCTAAAACATTTGTCTTAGTAAAGTATCACAAGAATGAAAAGCAAGTATCTGATGTACTCAATACTAATATGAGACCAATAGATAAACAACTACACACCCACGAGAGAGAAAAACCATTAAATTCAAGTTGGAGGGAAGGGGTATGGAGGAAAAGGGGAAAGGGAAGAGGGATGGAGGGATGGGGAGAGAAAGGAGGGAGGGGGATTGGTAAGCTCTCCCCTAATGTGCACAGTGTAAGGGTATATAGCATACCCCATGGGTCAAGCGCTCAATTACAACTTGACGTTTACCTTAGAATTGAAAACAATGTAACCTAAACATTTGTACCCTCATATTAATCTGAAATTTAAAAAAACCAAACTTTTCTAATCAGGGATAAATGTCAACACCCAGGCACAGGAGGCACTTGGTTTTTAAACACATTCAACTCCAAGGTTGGTACATCAAGACATATAATAATCAAGATATCAAAAATAAAATACAAAGAAAAAATTGTTAAGAAAGAGATAAAAAATCGTCACATACAAATGAGTGCCAATATGACTATCTGTGGATTTTTCAGCAGAAACTACAAACCAGGAGAAAGTGGAGTAAATAATATATTCCATGTGCTGAAGGAAAAAAAAATCTTACCAATCATGAATTCTTTATCAAGCAAATCTGTTCTTTAGAAATAAAAGACAGATAAAGATTACACCAGACAAACTCAAGCTAAGGGACTTCATCAACACCAGGCCTGTCTTACAAAACATGCTACAGAGAGCTCTTCGAACTGAAGAAGGGTGTTAATGAGCAACACAGAAACATTGTGAAGTAGAAAGGTCACTGGTACAGGCAGCGCCTGTGGCCCAGTCGGTAGTACGCTGGCCCCACGTACCAAGGATAGAAGGTTCGAACCTGGCCCCCGCCAAACTGCAACCAAAAAATAGCCGGGCATTGTGGCAGGCACCTGTAGTCCCAGCTACTCGGGAGGCTGAGGCAGGAGAATAGCCTAAACCCAAGAACTGGAGGTTGCTATGCACTGTGATGCCATGGCATTCTACCAAGGGCGATAAAGTGAAACTCTATCTCTAAAATAAAATAAAATCAATATAAAAATGTCACTGGTATGTACTAAAAGAAAATACATAAGTGCATAATATTGCATTACCATATTGATGGTGTACAAGTGATTTATATCTTTAGTATCAACCTTAAAAGATAAAACTATTGAATATGCTTCAAATAATTGCAACTATTTGTTAAAGAATATGCAATGTGAAGGATGTAAATTATGACATAAAAAATTCAAAAGGTGAGAGAAAGTGGAGTTATAATGAACAGTGTTTTTATCGCAATCAAAGTTAACTTGTTATCACCTTAAATAATCTGTTATATCTAAAAGACATTTTCTGTAACTCTCATGGAAACCTCAAACTAAATACCTATATTAGATAAATGTAAAATGTAAGAAATCACTACATACTAGTAGAGAGAATCACTTAACCACAAAGGAACATAGTAAGAGAGGAAGAAAGGCTCTACAAAACAAGAGGAAAACAATTAAAAAATAGTAGTAATAATTCTTTACCTATCAACAATCACCATGAAGGTAAATGATTAAATTCTGCAATTGAAATACTGAGTGCTTGACTGTCTTTCTTTCTTTGTTTTTTTTTTTTTTTTTTTTGCAGTTTTTGGCCAGAGCTCGGTTTGAACCCACTACCTCCGGCACATGGGGCTGGTGCCCTACCCCTTTGAGCCACAGGCACCACTCAATGATAGAATATTTTTCATAATGTATAGATTAATGAAACAGAATAAAAAACTCAAAAACTTTACATTGATATTTGACAAAGATTCCAGAGTACACAAGTGGGAAAAGATTTTCTTTCAAAAAAACAAAAAAAGATGCCAGAGCAACTAGATGGATATTCAAAAAATAAATCTTGACCCTTTCCTTGTGCCAGCCAAAGACATTAATTTGACATGGTCATAGACCTAAACATAAAGCTGAAATTATGATACTTATGAGTAAACACAGGAGAAAATATTTTTGATGCTGGGTTAGGCAAAGTTTTCTTAATTAAGACACAAAAACAACAAACCATAAATTATTGGTCATTTGGTCTTCATCAAATTTAAGACCTTTTGTTCTTTAAAAGACCTTGTTTAGAAAAATTGAAAGGCAAGTTACAGTTTGAGGGGATATATTCACAGATCATATATTTCATGCAAGACTTCTATCTAGAGCCTATAAAGAACTTGTACAATTTAGTGATACTAAGAAAAACAACTCAGTTATAGATGGGGGAAAGATTTGAATAATCCACTTCACAAAAAGAAGATATATGAATAATCTAGGAGCACTTGAAAAGATGCCCAACTTCACGAGTCATCAGAGAAATGCAAATTAAAATTACAAGATACCACTACACACACACACAGAATAACAGTTAAAAAATAAGACTACCAATATCAAGACAGAATAAAGTACTGATGAGAAATTTACTTAAAGTTAGGAGAAGTCAAAACATATGTCAACATAAATTTTTATAGCACTGTTACTCACAAGAGCCAAAAACTAGAAACAAGCCTCAGGTCCAGCAAAATGTCAATAAGTTAAAAATACATAGTATTAATATATTCATATACTATAAACTCTATGAGCCAGGAATTCCAGTTGTAAGAATTCACTCAAGAAAAATGAAAACATACAAAAACTTGTTTGTGAATATTCATAGAGGCACTTTTTATAATAGCAAAAACTAGGGGTGACCTAACTGCCCATCAACTGGTATGTGGATAAACAAGTTTTCATATGCCCAAGAATGTGGAGTACTGCTCAGCAATATACAAGAATGAACTGCTGACATCAGCAACACTCAACAGTATGTGGAGTGAAAGAACCCAGACACAAAAGAGTACTTACTCCATGGTTCCACTGGTGTGAAATTTTAGAAAAATCATTAGTACTTCATAGATACATAAAGGATATAAATGATTGCCAAGGGTTGGAGTGGGTAATATTTATTCAAAAGGGAAAGGTGGTCACTTTCTGGGATTATGGGAGTCCGCTACACTTCAATTTTTGTGCTGGAATCAGGCATGTATGCATTCTTTTACAACTCATCAAACTGTGCATTTAAAGTGGGTGCATTTTAAGTAAATTATTTCTCAATACAATTGATTAAAATACCTGGATGGTGCAGCTAAAGCTGTGCTTAGAATGAAATCTACAATTTTAACTTCTTATAGAGTAGGTCAGAGATTAGGGCACTTAGCAAACTGATATTATTATAATATGATATCATTGACAACTTAATAAGGTGGGTAATATTGTTTGCGTTTTACAAAGTAAGAAATTAAAGCTGAGAGATGTCAGATTTTTATTCGGCTCATCGCAAGTGGTCAATGAGTATGATGAAATACCCTGGGCACTGTCACAAAGTTAGTCACTTGGTCAGTGGGCAAATTATAGCTTTAGTTCTGGATTCCTGGTCTGTGTTCCTTCCATTGCATGATGATGAAGAGGACAGAGAGAAGGAAAGTAGAGGTGCTGGCAGGCTAGTGAGAATATGCATTATGTCTGTTCTGTGCCAGGGGTTGGAGTTCTGGTGACCATCAGCATTGGGAGTCCTTATTGATTCCATGAGCTCTTAGGGGTCAGACCTGAATCTTTGCAAATGAACATAGTAACTGTGGGAGAGTTTTCAAGTACTGTACATTTACAGTATTGTAGTGGGCCTGACATCATTCAGGAGAATAGTGTCAGCTCTTTCTATAGACAGTGTGCATGAAGTATAGGGAAACCCAAAGGCAGATATTTTTCTCTGATAGGTAGAAATTGTTTTCAACTTTTCTCTTTGACATTTGTGAATCTTGCCAAAGAATGTGGCTGTGTCTCGGGAGAGAAGCAAGAGAGAAGAAGGGGTGTGCTCAACATGGCTGGGTCTGCAGTGCTGTCCTGGGATGAGAAAAGACGGAGAGGGGAATCCTAAAGCCTTCTGTCCTACAGTGGGACAGAAGGGGAGGGAGTCCAGGACTGAGGTGTGGGGCCAGAATGCTGGGTTGAGAGCCCCCTGCCCAAGCTGTGAACAGTCTGTCTCAATCAGAGCCTCAGAGCTGCTGAAGCACAGAGCCTAGCTGGTCTTCTTTCACTTTTTCTTTTTTTTTTTAACATGGAACTCTTTGTGAATTTGCATGTCATCCTTGGGCAGGGGCCATGCTAATCTTCTTTGTATCATTCCAATTTTAGTATATGTGCTGCCAAAGCCAGCACTGTTCTTCTTTCATTGAGTAAGTGAGGTTCTTTCCTCCCTCATAGCCTCAGCATGTACTATTCCCTTGGCCAAGAAGGCTCTTTCCCCAACTCCTCACACGGCTAGTTACTTCTCATCTTTGAGGTTTCATCTCAAATGTCACCTTCTCAAGAAGACTCCTTGACCATTAGACAATGCTAGTAAATCACTTCTGCCTCATTTTATCCTCTATCAGAGCATAGATCTCATAGCATTTGTTGTGCTATGGTAGCACCACACTGCACTGCTTACTTCATGAGGGCACAGATGTTGTCTGATCTATTTATCTATCAGGGTGCTGGCACAGAATAAGCACTCAATCATCAGTCACCACTTGTGGAATGAAGAGATTGAACTATCCCAGTGACAAAGAGGTCACGGGGGCTATGTAGCCCTGGGATACAATAGCCATCGAAGGGTGGTTAGCAGCAACTACCTCCTCTGATTCTATGATTCCCCCTCTACCCACACTAAGAAGCAAAGGCCCTGAGAAATCTGCTCACCCATCTTGGGTATGCTCATTTATTGCTGCCTCTTCTCTAAGGGTCATAACTCTCCCCATAGCGCTTTTTCTCCACAGTTCAGCACCTAAGACTTATTCTTTACCTTTTTTTCAGAACTGGCCCCAGGGAAGAGGTAATAATGAGAAACACAGGCCAGGGACTCCCTAAGTCTTGGCCAGACTTCTGCCTGGCCCCCACATCTTAGCATCTTGACTGCTCTCTAGGCTTTCAGGGATACATCTTAGGGGCATTTTCAGCTCTCTTCAGGATATGAGAAGGCTGTGCCTTAATAGCAGGTGCACTTTAATGGTGCTGAGGGAAGAAAGAGGTGGCAGCAGGGTGGAGCCCAGGCATTGTTATCCTCTTGCAAAATCAGTGACTAAAAGGGAAGGCCAGCTGCTCAGGAGGCTGTGGATTGGTCAGGTACCTCAGATCCCAGTGCTGGTGCAGTGCCCCATCCCCATTGGGCTCACAGGGACATGAGGCCTAAATAAGTGAGGTAACTTTAAGCACATGGTCAGATGGAACAGATTTCTAGAGAGCTGGGAGGCTGTGGCAGTTTATTGTTATTGTTCAGTATCCAGCATGTGGCCTCCAAAGCCAAAGTTAAACTGTTCCCAAACCTGGGCAGGCCTACTAAGTCTCTGACTAAGATACAGCTCTCAAATATCAAGACAAACCTTGGGATATATTACAAAGCTAAAGTAATCAAAACAGCATGGTGTTGGCATAAAAATAGACACAAAAATCAATGGAACAGAATAAAAAGTCCAGAAATAAACTCCATGTGTTGTCAAATAATGTTTGACAAGGGCACCGAGAATAACAATGAGGAAAAGACAGGCTTTCCAATAAACAGTTCTGGGAAAACTGGACATACACATGCAAAAGAATGAAATTGGACCCTTGTCTTACATCATTTATAATAATTCACTTAAAATGGACTAAACACTTAAATATAAGACCTGAAGGGGTGGTGCCTGTGGCTCAAAGGAGTAGGGTACCAGCCCCATATCCCCATATCCCCAGCCCCAGACCAAAAAAAAAAAAAAAAAACTGCAAAAAAAAAAAATTCTTTCGGGTGGCTCCTGTGGCTCAAGCAGAAGGACGCCAGCTCCATATACTGGAAGTGGCAGGTTCAAACCCAGCCCGGCCAAAAAAAAAAAAAAAAAAAAGACCTGAAACTGTAAAACTACTGGAAGGAAACACAGATGAAAAGCTCCTTGACATTGGTCTTGGCAATGAATTTTTGCAAATTACACCAAAATGACAGGCAACAAACGCATGAATAAACAAATGAAACTACATGAAACTAAAAATGCTCCTGCACAGAAAAGGGCACAACAAAACGAAAAGACAACCTATGGAATGGGTGAAAATACTTACAAACTACAAATCTGAAAAGGAGTTAATGTATAAAATATGTAAAGAACTTACACAATTTGATAGCAAAACATAGAAAACAAAAACAAACAACCCCTCTCCCCTAAAATAAAAAAAAAAAAAACAATTAAAAATGAAGAAATTCCCCAAATAGATATTTTCTAAAGAAGACATACAAATGGCCAACAGGTCACGGCTAAAACACTCAACATCACTAATCATAGGAGAAATGCAAATCAAAACCACAATAAGGTATCACATCACACCTGTTAGAAGAATGGTTATAATAAAAATAAAGTTTAGGAAGTGTTATTTAGGATGTAGAGAAAAGGGGACCCCATGTACATTGTTGGTGGAAATGTAAACTGGCACAGCCATTGTATAAAACAGTATGGAGATCCCTAGAGGAAAAAAAATTAGAACTACCATATGACCCAGAACTCCCCCTTTATATCCAAAGGAAATGAAATCACCACCTCATAAAAACATCTGCACTGTCATGTTCACCACAGAATTATTCACAAAAACCAAGTTATGGAGTCAGTTTAAATGTCCATTGTTAAATAAATGGATAAAGAAAATGTGGTATGTATCAATGGAATATTATTTGGCCACAAAGGACATAAATTCTGCCATTTGCAACAACATGAATGACATAAGCCAGGTACAAAAGACGTACATGGAGAAGCTAAAAATGTCAGATTGGAGGATGGGGAGATATTGGTCAAATAGTACAAACTTTCAGTTATAAGCCAAATAAATTTGGGGGTCTAATGTATAGCACAGTGACTGTAGTTAATAATACTGAATTGTGTACTTGAAATTTGATAAGGGAGCAGATTTTACATGTCCTTACTCTCGTCACAAACACAAGTGATAACTACGGATGGTGATGAATATGTTAATGACTGTGGTAATCAGTACACGATTTGTATATATTACATATATATATAACAAATCATCGCGTTGTATATTTAAATGTATACAATTTTTGTCAATGAAATATTTTAAAATTCAACAAGAAACAAGAAATGCCTTGAGACACCCTCAGTATGCATTTCAAACTGATCTTTGAATTGAAATGTGCTTCTCTGGGGCAGGGCAGGGGCTGGAGTGAGCATCCTGTACAGGGCAAAGCCAGTAACAGGACCGCTAGGGTTCAGCACCTTATACCTCTGAAGCTATTATACCTTCATAAACCCTCCAGCTCCAGAATACACCTAGGGTATGTCTGTAGCCATGTCTCAGGTAAGGAAATCAAAGAGAGGTGGCAAGGATTTGCCCACGGCACCAAGTGCACCAGACAGTCTAAATTCAAGCCCAGGCCTCCAGGTGCCTGCACTGACTCTGCCCCATCCCTCTTTTTTGCTTTTGCTCATTGGAGAGGGCTGAGAGGAAGTGCCTGTCTGTCTCTGCACCTATTTTCCCACTTTGACCTGTGTCAAGAGGTCTCAAACAGGAGCACTGGAGGCTGCCATAGTGGAGAGGAAGGAGAAGGCACATAAGCAGGCAGAGAAGGGTTCCTCCTCCTCTTCTTGGTCTTTGCTTGAGCCCTCTCTTCACAGAGCAAGACCTCTCCAGCTAAGTCAGTCTGGACATTCCTAGGCTGGGGGGCTCTGCCTTACACTTCCATACTTTTCATAGTCTCCAGATTTTTAAAGAACTATCCTTTTTGGCTCCTGTTTCTCCTCCCTATGGCCTTTCTCCATAACTCCCTCTCCACCACCTTCTCCAGTAAATCCCTGGCCCAGCTCTTAGCTCCTCAGAGACCACTTTCCCAGCCTGCAGATTCTTTGAACTTAGAGTGGCCCAAATCCTTGTGATGAGGCACTGGAATTAGAGGGAAAATGATGGGCAAGTGGATCCTGAGGCCTACCAATCAAGTAAGCAGTCCTCAGAAGTGGAGGACAGGCAAGCCCTTTGCCTTCGTGCTAGGGACTACAATCGGTGAAATGGCAACAGCTGGGAGACAAATCAGGAGGAGCAAACACTTTCTTTCCCTCTGAGCCAAAACTCAGTGGGCCTGTGGAGAGCCAAAACATGTGCCAGTCCCCAAGCACTGAGTAGCTATTAGACTTTTCAATGAGTAGCTATTGGACTTTTCCTCCCAGCAAGGCCCAGTGCTGAGCACTCCAGTGCTGTTGACGGGTAATTCATGAGTCTCAAGGCTCTTCCAACCTTTCAAGGGAAAGAGGCATGTGCACAGAACAGGCTGTGGGATTGGAGTAAGGAGAGGTCCTCAGTGATTAGGCACAAGGAGGGGAGGAATAATAGGCTGGGCCTTGGGATGCGGTTGGGAAGATAGTGCAGATTTGGAGAAGCAAAGCTGGGGGAGGAATCCAGCAGGAAGTTCACAGACAGGCACAGCAGTGGGGATGTACAGAGTGAGATCAGGGACCTAATTGGCAATCAGACGCCAAGTTCTGGGAATGCTACCAGACTCAGGAATCTATCTTTCCATTCCTAAGAGTTGGGACACTGCCTTAATTAATCCATTTATTACCTTTTCCTGGACTCTTGAGAGAATCCCCAATTACTGCCCAGTCTCCAACCCCACACCCACCTCTGACCTCACTTCCGAGGGGAGGGTAAGTCTAAAATGGAGCACGATCGTGTTCCATACCCTTTCCAACTGCAAGTGCAGAGAGAAAGAGAAGAGGCTGAGCACTCTGAGGAGCAGGGATTGCAGAATCTTAGGGGCCTCATCATACTCCTGTGGGTAGGAGCTGGGAACTCTAGCCCACTCTCCTGGGCTCCTCAGCATCTTTAGTCTGAGTCCAGTTTTATCACACTAATGGTTTCCCCAGAGCTGGGTGGGAAACTGCCCAGCCAGGAGGGCCTGGCTGCTCCTGGTTTAACAGCATGTGGTCTCTTCCAACTAACAGCTGAAAAATCAGACTGTTGCAGAGAGAGAGGGAATGTGTTCTTTATTGTCAGGCTCTTCTGTTAGGATTGAGAATTGACTGACACTCTAAACAAGACTGCCCTTTTAAAACCAGAGTTTTTATTCAGTTTCAACCCCTCAGAATTTGAGAGAGGCCAAGAAGGTTCACAGAGTCTCAGCTGGCTCTGGTGCCCAGACCAAGGTGTGCTTC